CAAATCACTGTTGGATCTGGAGCTTGAAAGAATGGAATGGTTTTTGGCTTCTGGCTTCACCAACAGGGTAGGCGGTAGGTGATGCCATCACTGAACAGACCGTGGCTACAGAGGCTGTCTGCAAAATGCAAGCTACATAGTTAAGCATCATGGAAGGCGTGAGGAAAGTGGAGAAGGCCTGAGCTAGCCACCTGCACAGTGAGTGAGGAGGTGGCCAGAGGCTTGTTAAGCAGTATTTGTGTCCACCTGCAGGTGGGAACCACGAAGGGAACTGTGTATGTGGTTGTATGATTTTTTTTTCTCTGACCTTGTGAAAGAAATGAATGCTGACCAGTGCCCTGACGTGGTCAGATGTCCCTTAGACCAAAGCAGGGAACACGTAGGTGCAGAAGTGTCCCATCTGACAATAAGCAAGGGACGGAAGAAGCCCAATTGGCTTTACCAACGGATGAATAGATAAACAAAACATGGCACATACATACAATGGAATAATATCCAGCCTTATGAAGGAAGGGAATTCAGATGCATTCTACAACATGGCTGGACCTTGGGGACATGATGCCGAGTGAAATGAGCCAGCCACAAAAAAAGAGAAATACTGCACACTTCCATTGATATGAGTTTCCTAGAGTAGACAGATTCATGGACAAAAAGCAGAAAGGTGGTTGCCGGAGGTTGGGAAAGCTTCAGTGTGGGAAGATAAAAAGGTTCTGCACAATGTGAATATACTTAGCACTAGTGAACTGTGCACTGAAAAATGGTTACGTTGGTAAATTTTGTGTTATATGGTGTGTTTTGATGTGTGTGTGTGTGTGTGTGTGTGCGCTTGCCACAATTAAAAAAAAAAAGACATACCATAAGCAATAAAAACATTTAGCCTGATTTACAATTTAAAAAAAAAAAAAAGGTTGCCTCATCTGATGAGGCTGAGCAGGGTCAACCCACCTGTTCCTGTCACCTCGTTCGCCTTCGCTGGTCCTGGGGCCAGCTCAGCCTGGTGTCTGCTCCCTTAACACCTGGTAACTGACATCGGCCATGACCTGAGGATTCACACTGGCTTTCTGCAGCGCACTTTATTTTTCTCATGGCCTCCCCAGCACTGACTCAGTTAGGGAGGGTGTTGGGTTTTGTTCTCAGCAGCTTGTGGTTGGTGAATGACACAGGTGACTGATTCTTCTTGTTAACCACACACACCTATCTTGTAACATTTAGCAGAAGTCCACCTCCACGGTTCATTTGCACACCACCACATTTTATTAGGGGTTGAGGGAAGCTTAGTGGTGCATGCAAGCCCTTGACACCTACTGTTTAAGATGAGCAAATTGGTGCCAGAAGAAAATGAGGAGAGAAGCATGAAGAAACTTCAGAGTTAAGGATGTTTCCCCGAAGCGCATGCCGGAAGGTCTGGTGCGGGTGGGAGTGCGCCTCGCCTTTGACTCTGAAAGTACTGGGGATCCCAGCTGTGAGAGAAATGCGTGGTTGCAAAGTCTACCGCGTTCCTAAGACTCTTTCAATAAATACTTATTGGCAATTATCATGCTGCAGCCGCCATTTGGCTCTGAGAACACAGCAGTGGACAAGATAGGAGGGGTTTCTTCTCCCAGGGGATCCCATTTTAGGTGGAATTAGAGGAGAAAAAAGGCAAGAAATAGAAAAGCTACTAATAAGGGTTCTGAGAAGGTTAAGAGAAGTGAATGTGCTAGAAGGTGGCTGGGAGGGGACATTCGTTTGGAAGGTTAAAGCCGCTGAGCTCTGGGCAACCACAAAAAGCCTGATCTCGACCGTCCGGCAGGGAGCCTTAGGGCAGCAGGACCGATGGTACCAAGGAGTGACTTTAGCTTATCTGAGGAACAGAAAGGAGGCTCCTGTGGTTGGAACGTGGGAGGCGAGGGTGAGTGCCGTCTGAGCTGAGGTCAGAGGTCAGCACTGGTCATGAAGGGCTTTATAAGTTAAGGTTTGAATCAAAGGGCAGAGAGGAGGACTGCAGGGCACTGAGCAGGGGGAGGGGAGGTAACAGGATGTGATTTATGTTTCTAAGAGGCCATCCTGGCTGCTGTGTGATAACTGTATTATAAAAGGCGAGTATGAGAACAGGGAGGCGCATTCGGGGGGCATTTGCCACCATCTAAGAGAGAGATGACTCTCGCCTGGATTAAGTTGATGGGGCTGGGTCAAATCCCTTAGGGAGAAGGGTAGGGCATGGGACCAAACCCTGGGCTCTCCAACAACCAATCCCTTATTCAGGAGACCTTAACCATTTCTAGGTCTGAGACCCAAGAGAGCAGTTTCTCAGGGAGGCCTTATGAAAGGGACACTTGGGAACAGCAGAATTCTTCTCAAAAGCATCACTGTGTTCTCCCTTCTTCCCCCAGCCACCCCCGTCTGCCCCTCCTGGAGCCTCTCTTGTGCCACAGCGACTGGAGAGTGTCCAGCACCTGCCATGGCCGGTGCGAAACCCAAGGCAGGGTCGAGACAGGGAACGGGGAGCCAATTAATTTAAGGAGGTGGGGCAGGTCGTTCTGTTGGGGATTACGAGGAGTGAGCACTAGCCAATGCATAAAAACCTGTGAATGACAGGGTTTGTCACTGAGGAAGATCAAATTCCAATTTGATGGGCAATCAGCGAAGCCAATGCACCTGTGCAGTGAAGACAAAGGATGACAATATTAAGTGATGTGCTACTTCCCTCCAGAACTCAGACGAGAAGCCGTTCTCAGTTGAAAAAGGCAGTTCGATTCCACCACACCCTGACTTGTACTGGGTCCTTTTCCCATCTCCTTTCTTTTGTCGTACGTCAAGTAACTGGCTTTTGTGACCAGGTTCATTGTGCTATTATTATTTTTTTTACTAAAGGGTCATTGATGTATTCTGTTGACATCCAAAGGAAATGGAGGGGAGAAAAAGCTTTCTGTAAAAAGGCCCATTGGCAGTGTGCTCATTCAACTTTTATTTATTTTTATTTATTTATTTATTTTTTTAGTGTTTATTTGTATTTATTTGGAGAGAGAGAGAGCGAGCAGGGCAGGGGCAGAGAGAGAGGGAGAGAGAGAATCCCAAGCAAGTTTCATGCCCAGCTTGGCACCTGACGCGGGCTTGATCCCATGATCTCAAGATCATGACCTGAGCCAAAATCAAGAGTCAGATGCTTAACCAACTGAACCAGCAAGGAGCTCCACAACTTTTATTTTTATATGCCATTAAATTATTTTGCTTTCATTGTTTGACAAGCAACAACAACAACAAAATCCTTTGCATACTTTCTCTGCTTAGAGAATTCCAATGGATTTCATTTATCCTTGTAAAACCAAGGACAACTTAAACATTTTACAGTCTTTTGTACATAGCTGTTACATGCGGGGAATCTGTTTTTAAGTTGGAACACATTTCTCGGAAGGAAATGAATCCTAAGTAGCTTTTCTTTTAACTCACGTGTCTTATTTAAATAAACCTTTTGTTGAAAATAATATTAAAAAGCCCATTATTGCAGCAGGAGAACGGTGAGGCTGTTTTATCCTGGCTTGACCAGGATAAAGTTTGGCAAAGTGGGAAGTGTGAATAAGCTGGTTATCTCTGGGGTAGCCCAAGCGAATATTCATCATCGTCTCCACGCTGCAATCACCTTGACCTGCTGGGTTGGAGGCACACCATCCCTTGGTTGCTGTAGGTGATCATTGTTTTTGAACCCGGAGGATGAACCAGGTGGCCTTTTGAGGCACCCTGGAGCCCAGGGATGGTTGGAGAGAGAGCTCACTCGGGCCCTGTTGACAAGAGGGCTTCCTGACAAGAGTCTTGAGGAACTTTGCAAAAAAGTCTCCTAGTTGCCCTAACTCTGCTGTCTTCCAGGAGAAACAACAGTAGAGGCTGAAAAGAGGAGATTTTTACCTTTCTTTCATTGGGTTTTTGGTGTAATAGGGCATTCTCCTATGAAATTTGAAACAAGTCATGGCTGTGAGGAGACCATTTCTGACTTTCTGCTTACTTTGTGGCCCCGAACAAGGCTGGACCATCTAAATTCTTTTCTTTTTTTTTTTTTTTTTTTACATTTACTTATTTTTGAGAGACAGAGAAACAGCACACGTGGGGAGGGGCAGAGAGAGAAGAAGACAGAATCCAAAGCAGGCTCTGAGCTGTCAGCAGAGAGCCCGACGCAGGGCTTGAACTTGCAAACCGTGAGATCATGACCTGAACCGAAGTCAGACGCTTAACCAACTGAACCACCCAGGCGCCCCAAGGCTGGACCATCTAGGATATTATCGTATTTCCTCTCCCCCCTTATGTATTGGAAACTCAATATAATACTCAAATGTGTTCAGTTCAATGAGTACTTATTTTCTCTGTTTATTTTATTTTATTTTATTCTATTTTTTTTTTCACTCTTTTAAATGTTTATTTTTGAGAGAGAGAGTGCAAGTGGAGGAGGGGCAGAGAGAGAGGGACAGAGGATCTGAAGCTGGCTGTGCACTGACAGCAGAGAGCCCGATACGGGGCTCGAACTCGCAAACCATGAGATCCTGACCGGAGCGGAAGTCAGACGCTCAACTGACTGAGCCACCCAGGTGCCCGTCTCTGTGTTTATTTTAACTGAATATCTGATTTGTAATATATTTCACTGTTCTTATAAAAGCAAAGTTACACAAATAGCTTAAGCTCCCCCCACCTTTCTGACCTTCCTCGATGAACCGTATCTGTCTGATTGGCCACCTAGCAATTAACACACAGTTCAGGCTAAGTCGTTGAAAACACTGATGTGTTAATTTAGTCAGTCAATGGCTCCTAAGAGGGGATTTTTAGGTTTGGAAAAAGCTGTTTTGTGTGTTTGTTTTGTTTTTAACTTCAGAATTGTGGTGACACATTTTTCAACCAATTGCATGATGCTGACTGTAGGCCAGAACCCGTTCTAAATGCTTCATAAACATTACGTTTTAATTTCAGCTTTGAAACAAGCCTCCTACACAGCAACTATTATTATGCCCATTTTACTGACGAGGAGATCAAGCTTTGCAGAGAGTAAGATTTAAACCCAGGTTCTTCTGCTGAGGCCAAGATTGAGGTATTGTTGTTTTTAAAGTGTTTTACTTGGAAGTAATCCCAAATTTACAGAAAGGTTGTAAAGGAAGGTGCGACAAGGAATATCACACTTCCTGAGATTCTTTGTTGTTAGCGTGTGTAACGTTCTTCTTCTGAGACGCAAATACCCACACGGTGGCCCTTTACCCTAGAATGCATCAGTGCGTATTTGCTAGGAATAGGGCCGTTCTTTTACGCAATCAGCGCATGTCTATCTTTAGTAAATGTAGCACTGATGAGATACTTCTATTCATTCGCTGTCTATATTTCAGTGTTGACAGTTAACCCAGTAATAAGGTCTTTTCTCATTTCCGCCAGGATGGGATCCAGACTAGTTCTAGGTATTCTTTTTTTTTTTTTTTAATTTTTTTTTTCAACGTTTATCTATTTTTGGGACAGAGAGAGACAGAGCATGAACGGGGGAGGGGCAGAGAGAGAGGGAGACACAGAATCGGAAACAGGCTCCAGGCTCCGAGCCATCAGCCCAGAGCCCGACGCGGGGCTCGAACTCACGGACCACGAGATCGTGACCTGGCTGAAGTCGGACGCTTAACCGACTGCGCCACCCAGGCGCCCCAGTTCTAGGTATTCTTGTTGTCAAATCTCTCTTGCCTCCTTCATCTGGACACATTTCATCCCCTTCCCGTGTCTTGTGTGACCTTGATATTTTTTTGCAGAGTATGTTTCCCCTCCTGCCTTTAACAAAATAGAACAAGCATTCTTCATCTTGTGTTTGATGCCTTGTCGCGATTAGGTAAGGAGATTCAGTCCTACATAGGAGACGCGGTGACCGGCTCAGGATCTTATCTCTGGAGACACACGATATCCGCCTGCCCCTCGCTGGTGGTGGTGGCTCGGATCACCATGCTCCATCAAGCGGTTGTCTGATTTCTCAGACAAAATAATTACTATTTTTCCCTTGCCGCTAATAAGCCGTCTGGGGGAGGCTGAAGGATGTTTCTCTGCCACTTGGAGGCACCAGTCATAGGGAGACGCGTATGTGTGTGAGGGTGGAAGCAAGTTCTTCCCTTCCCTTCCGCGGGAATGTTACAAGTGGGGAATATGTGCTCCTTCCACCTGCAGCTGGAAAGTCCGCACATCTTTTGTTGTGATTTCCAGTCGTCACAGGGCATTTCGTTAGGGCTGAGTGACTGCTCGCAGGTAGAGCTTTGGGGCTTTGATGTTTCTGGGCCCTGATGAGTCAAGCTTGCATCTGTGAAATGATAAAGCGGCTGAGATGCCTCCCGAGAGAACAAGGAATGGGATCCTCACCCGTAATGTCTGAGACCACATTTCAGGAAAGGGCACCGGTTCCTTGAGGGAAGGCAGACAGCAACAGAAATGGAAATCTGGACTGGCTTCACATCCAAACCTGGGAGACGTTGCAACGAAGGATTGATTTAGGGTGTCGGAAATCGCCAGTGGAACTGGTCCCAGCCCAGAACCCTGGGCAGTAGGCAGAATGGCTGTGAGCCCAGTAGGACTGACCCAGCCCATCCTCCTAGAGAACATCTTGACTCTGCAGAAGGAGAAGCAGAGCCCTGGTTCTTTACATACCCATGAGCATCTGAGCTCTTACACAGCCAAAATATTTTCCACGAATGCATGTGATATTAAAGATAGTATGCTAAAAAGAGAGGACAGCGAAGAATCTAGGTAGAGAAGATTAGACGAAAAGTTAGAACCCATATACTCAAGCCGTAGGTCACTAAATAGTTACTAACACTGGCATCAAATTTGTCTCAGAACTTCTCTATGGGAAAGGCAAAAAGGAAAACGTGATCAATTAGTTACAAAAATCTCACTTCCATGACAAAAAACTGATCAGTTACTCAGAAGAGACAAAACATTCCCGATGCTTAAACGTGGATACGTCTGTCTTTGCTTTGCTTTGCTTATTGGTAATAGAGCTTTTCTTGAACACTTAGCCTCTTGTCAATTTTCTCTGTAATTGATTTTTACTTCCAGGTCCCGTGGTTGAAAGGTCTGTAAATGCTGTGATGTCTAAAGATCTGAGTATCAGGATGGGGAAGAAACAGAAGTGGCGAGTCCCATCGAGAGAGCACATAAGGTAACGTAACACCACATTTAATCCAAAGCCACAGATTCTAAATCCAGGGACAGAGGGTTTGGCCTCATTACACCAACTTGCAAGGGAGTGCCCTGGAGCTGTGCCCGCAGGGAGCTAGGAAACCGGAAATCCCACCTCAGGAGATTGCTGGCAGCGAAATGGCAGTCACCCAGCAACAACAACCACCACAACAAGAAGGCACTAAAAGGAATGATGGAAAATCACTTACATGAAGGGAAACAATGCAACCGGAACTTATGAGTACTCTAAATCCTGCCCTTTGGAGGGATTTCAGATTTTATTTGTTATCTGTAAGGATCCTGCAAAGTCCTTTTGGTTCAAAGGGCTTCTCCAATGTGGGATTGGTAGGAGACGTTCGGGGAATAGAGTCATTCATGTGGTCAGTTAGCCAGTCAGCAAACATGACTTGAACTCCAGGCCATGAGATGGAGAAGAAGAACTCCAGATGCCCTATGTCTGAAATATCCAATAGAATAGGGACAGGTGCAGGCAGAGAAATAAGAGCAGTGCTATGTGTTTCTAGAGCACAGCAGAATTCTTTTAAAAGCTTTATATTTGTAGGGCGCCTGGGTGGCTCAGTCGGTTAAGCGTCCGACTTCAGTGTTTGCATGATCTCCCGGTTTGTGCGTTCAAGCCTCGCATCGGGCTCTGTGCTGACAGCTCGGAGCCTGGAGCCTGCTTTGGATTCTGTGTCTCCTTCTCTCTCTGCCCCTTCCCTGCTTGCACTCTCTCTCTCTCTCAAAAATGAATAATAAAAACATTAAAAAAAAAAGCTTATATGTGTAACATCGAGCGAGGTCTGCGTTAGCATCTCCTGCAAAAGCAGGGTGGTGGCAGAATCTGTCAGAAAAGCCAAATTGCCCTTCCGGACTTTTTGTTTCCCCAACTCACCACAGGGGGGCGCTGTGTGAGGCTACCCTGAGGGCTCCCGAGTGAACTCTGCTTTAGATCAGCAAAATGGTAGGCACTAAATGAAAAGCTTCAGAACCATCCTAGGTGGTGTCCAGATAAAGCCATTGTTACCTGGAGTGAATGAGTGAAGGCCATTTGCAGTGGCAGGGACATAAAGGACTCTTGGACGGCCCTTTCCAATAAGGGCGGCTGCCTGGGAAGTGTAAACACGCAAGTCTGGTCCCCTTTGCAAGCGACAGGACATGCTAACTTTTCTCCAGAACGCTTTCCTCCACACAACAGGCCCCCACAGGCCCTCTTCTGAAGGTTCTTTGTAGACCTTTTGTTTTCTTGCTTGTTGATTTTCCTTTTGCAAACAAGACCGGGGGACCCATTATTCAACTAAAACCTTCTTTTGTCAACTCTTAGGTTTTCTCCCTAGTGTTGATTGGATGTCTAGACAGATAGGTGGAAATAATTGCCCAGGGGGAAGGACAACCTTAACTCAAGCGGTCCATTTACATTTTTACATCCTCCTAAAAATACACCACACCAACCCCTTTGTCTTGGTAGTTCAACGTTGTGCAAGACTCTTGAATATGTTCCTTCTTTCTGCAGTGTTTAAAATGTCCCGTTCAGAACCATTGTTCTTCGAGACTTCAACTTCTTTGATAGGGATTTAAATCACAAAGGGTTCAGGCAGTTCTGAAAAAAACCCTCTGTTATGCTCCCTGGGTCATAAAGGAGACTCATAAACTGCTTTTGCGTGGTAACTGCTGTGGGGGAAGGGTAGATAGTGTCTGATGTCTGATGGTATCCTAACTGCCAGGCGGGCCGGAGAAAATTAAGGGTATGTTTTCATTTAACATCATTCCTTGCTGACTCTTGTCTCCCTGGAAAATTGTCCACCAGGAGACAAACGAGGGTGCCCTTTCTGTTAACTCAGTTTTCTTAATTATAGTTGGTAGGAGATGGGCTTAAATCGTGTTGTGAGGTATGGGCTCCATCTTCCCTCCAGGCAGTGGAGGAATTTGTGTCAGAGACTGGTAACAGTAAACCCTGAGATAAAAGTCAGCCTGCCCAACTTTTTCCGTTGCCCCTTTTAAAGGTTTCTCTCCGGTGTCCTGGCCTCTACTCATTAAAACCCTTTCAAGGTTGTTTTTTTCTTTTCTTTTCTTGCTTTCAAGCACAAAATAAGCGTGTGCCTACACGTTCAGGACCTGGGAGGAAAGAAGGGTGGGCTGAACGGAGTCTTCCCGTGGTACTGTTTGGGGTTTCTATGGCCTTGTTTATTCCCTCTTTTGCCTAGCCTCGGGGTTCAGTGCCAGGCTGGGATAGTGTTCACCCCAGGCTGCTTTCGTGGAGACGTCCAGAACTGTGGTGCTTCCTAGTTCAGAATGGGTCCACATCTGTCCCGATGCCCAAACCAGAAACCCTCAGCATAGCTACCCCTGCATCAGACGCCATGTGCAATTCATCAATCGTGTTGATTCCCTCTCCTGTACGCCTGGAGTCTGTCTGCTTCTCTCTCCTTTTTGGCCCAGGCTCCCTTCGCCCTTTCTCCTACAATGGACACGAGGGCTTCCTAACTGAGCTCTCAGGATCCTCGAGGCCCGTCCTTACCGCCTTCCACCCTACCACGTGCTGTGTTCAGAACATGGCATTTGTTATCATGACGGCCGCCTTTTCGAGAAGACTTCCCAAGTGTTAAGCAAATGGGAATCCTTAGAGCAAATCCCTGGACAGGCCAGGCAATCTTTGAGTGTTCTTTCTTTCTCTCTGTATGGATTTCATTGTCCTCTCACTTTCTTGGGTCCCGTCTAAAAAGTACTTGTATTTTAAAGCTCTTCATACAAGATTGACCTTCACTTGGGTTTTTGTCTGTAATCTGTCTTAAATTGTTTCCAAAGCATGTTTACTTTTGGCTTCAAACAAAGCAAAGCCGAGAGCAGGACTTCCATTTCCTTCCTGCCCCCGCTGGGGCACCACACATTTGCTGAGCAGGTAGAGACCCTGGCTGGGAGGCTGGACGACTCCTCGGGCTGGGGCCGCCCTTGTCTTGATGGGCACAGCCGATCCGTGCTGTGGCGGCCAGGCAAGAAATGTTCAATGAATGCATGAATCCTTGTTTTTCATATCCTCTGGTGAATGGCAGTTTCTTTTGTCATCCTTCCTCAAAAACTGTGAAGAATGTGGATGTGGTATGTGGGGAAACATCTAAAGCCCAGACAGACTTTTAACTGACTAGGGGAGCAGGAAACTGTCTTTGTCTTCCTGGTGAGTCTTGAACTAGCCCGGGGTTGTCACTAAAAAGCTGAACTTTCTTATTTGCCCTTTTTTTTTTTTTTTTTTTTTTTGGGGGGGGGCCCGCCAGCGTTTCTGGTGAATTCATTGGCAGTTTTGGTTTGGCAAAAAAATGGAACATTAGAATCAGTTGGGAAATGCCTTACCTCTTTTGAAAATCAACTTTATTGAGCTAGACGTCCCTGTGATGACATGCAGCCGTTTTGAGTAGATATTATAATTTTGACAAATTTCTGCACTTGCATAATTACCCTAAGGCTCAAGATGTAGACACGGTACTGTCCAATACCATAGCCACTAACCACATATGGCTATTTAATATGAACTAAAACGAACTGAAACTTAAAACGGTCCCTCGGTTGTGCTAGTTACCTCTCAGATGCTCCGTAGCCACAGGTGACTGTTGCCTACTATATTGGACAGCGCAAGTGATAAAACATCTCCATCGTACAGTGCAGATATAACACGTATGTATGGCCCTGAAATAAAACGTGTCCGTCACACCAAAAAGTTCCCTCGTCCTCTTTTCCGAATTATTCCCAACTCCCACCCTTGCAGGAAATCACTGACTTGATGTCTGTTACTGCCAAGTAGATCTGTGTTTTCTAGAACTTCGTATATATGTACTCTTTATTTGGGTGGCTTTTTCTCAGCAAAATGTTTCTAAGGTGGATCCATCCATGTTGTTACATGTGTCGTTAATTCACTCCTTTTTATTTATTTATTTATTTTTGTTTTGGTTGCTTTCTTTTTTTAGAGTTAACATCGCACTATGTTAGTTTCAGGTGTACAATATGATGCGGCAATTCTGTACGTTACACAGCGCTCATCATGATAAGTGTGCTCTTAATGTCCTTTGTCTGTGTCACCCGTCCCCACACTCACCTCCCCTCTGGTAACCACCAGTTTTTTCGGTGCATCTCGTTTTTCATTTGTTCATTTGTTTTGTTTCTTAAATTCCACATATGAGTGAAATCGTACGGTATTTGTCCTTCTTTGACTTATTTTGCTTCCCATCGTGCTCTCTAGCTCCATCCATGTTGTTGCAAACGGCAAGATGTCATTCTTTTTTATGGCTCAGTAATATTGCTTGTATGTGTACCACCTTCTTTATCCATTCATCTATTGATGGACATTTGGGCTGCTTCCATAATTTGACTATTGTAAATAATGCTGCAATAAACATAGGGGTGTATATATCCTTTTTGAATTAGTGTTTTTGTATTCTTTGGGTAAATACCCAGCAGTGTGATTACTGGATAATATGGTAATTCTATTTTTAATTTTTTGAGGAACCTCCATACTGTTTTCCACAGTGGCTGTACCAGTTTGCATTCCCACCAACAGTGAACGAGGGTCCCTTCCTTTCCACATCCTCACCAACACTTGTTCCTTGTGTTTTTTATTTTAGCCATTCTGACAGATGTGAGGTGGTATCTCATTGTGGTTTGACTTGCATTTCCCTGATGAGAAGTGGTGTTGAGCATCTTTTCATGTATCAATTTGTCATCTGTATCTCTTCTTCAGGGAGATGTCTGTTCATGGCTTCTGCCCACTTTTTATTTGTTTTGAGAGAGAGAGAGAGGGAGCAGGGGAGAGGGACTGAGGGAGAGAGAGAATCTTAAGCAGGCTCCATACTCAGTGCAGAGCCTGACATGGCTCAATCCCACAACCCTGGGATCATGGCCTGAGATGAAATCAACAGTCGGGCGCTCAGCCAGCTAAGCCACCCAGGCGCCCCTTGTGCCCATTTTTTAATTGGATTATTTGGTTTCTGGTGTTGA